CCCCCCCCCCCGATCCTGGGAGGTGGTGGCATGGGGTGATGGGTGGTGGTGCTCTGTCCCTTCGTCCCCTGCCCCCCCCAGTCATTCTTGATGGGCAATTGGCTAGTAGTGACATATTGTGCCAATGTTGTGATATTTTGTGCCAAGCTTTGGTTCACATTTGCTCCATCTTTGCAAGGAAAAAGGCCAGAAACTTACATTTAAGTGACTGAAAGCTAAGAATCTCTTAGACCAGGGGTCAGCAACCCCTAGCATGTGTGCCATGCATGGCATGCAAGGCCATTTTGCTCAGCACACCATCGCCAGCCCGGGCTCCAAGCAGCTGCTGCCAGCCATGGAGCCCAGGCTGCTCCCAGCATGCAGACTGGGCTCCGTGGGCCGGCTGCAGCCAGGAGGCTGCAAACAGCTGCTCCAGGCTCCGGCATGTTGGCACTTCAGCACCTTCCAAGGTAGACATTGCGGTTTTTGTCAGCGCTCCGGCCAAAAAATATTGCCTACCCCTGTCTTAGACCTTGTTTTTCAGTGGCATGTTTTTCGAATAACTAGATTTTGTAGGATAAACTACCTTGAATCCACGCACAAGTTCTTGTCAAATTATCTGGTGCCTGAGCCTCATTAATGAATCTGGTTTTGACGTGAAACAGCTCTTTTAGCTGGAGTAAGCTTTTTGTGGAAACATCTGTATTTTAAATTAACTATTTCACTTCTAGCAGTCCTCCCACTGCTATCTACACTGCGTATTTTCATTGCTGTCTGCCTGTCTGTACACCCGTGCATTATCTTGACAAGAATTCGCCTATTCCTTTAAATGCTGAAACTCTGCTACACATATCCCTTCAAAATTCTGGCTTGTGCGAGTTCACACATGCAAAGCCACATATCTGCAATTACACCCATATCCTGTGGGTAATCCCACCAGAAAGTCTTGGACTTGCTCACCCTCTGAGGGCAAGAGCCCATGCAGGCTCCTCTGAACAGCAGTTGGTGGGAAGCCAAGATCTTCAAGCAATCAACAGAGCAAAGGATGACTCCCGCTCTACTACAAAGGGAAGGGATTATGAGAGTGCTAGGAACAAAAATGGACCGTTAGGAATGCTCTCCTAACCTGCACAAACTATAAAGAGCCGGACCCAGATCTTTTGTGAGAGGCAGCCAACGAACTTCAGTATGGGTTTGTGGACAGTTTGGGGAGGAGGGCCTAGACTGGCACCACAGCAACCACAGAAAGCACCAGCGAGCAGCGTGGCACATGATTTTGCTAGTTAATCTACAATTAAAACAGAAAAACATCTGAAAAAGCCTTCTCTTGCAGACAAGGCCTTGTGTTTCCACCTCCCCCAAATTAGGACCTCACAGACCTAACTGGTTCAACCCAGTGACTTCCAGCATTAGCCAGACAGCTTTGAGATTCCTGAAGCTGCAGCGGGGAGAAATAGTACACTGAAGAGTACTCTTAGGGCTGAAGAGAAACAGTATATTGCTTTTTAACTAGTTAGTTACTGATTAACAGATCACATTATGAAGTGCACTTTTGTTCTCAGGGAGTCAGAACAGCACACGGGTGTGTTCCTTCAAAATTTACCTAAAGGAAATCTGAATAAAAACCTGGGATCTTTATATCCCATAGGATTTCGAGCCTCAAAAGGTCCTTTGGGGAGTTATTACAGCAATGCCTTTCACCTTTACAATTCCATCCAAAAACCTCCTTGAGCTGAACACCCCGGAGGGAGCTGATTCAGCCTTTCTTTTCCATGTCTGACAGTTTTGTGGTGTGGGTCACATCACTGAATCTTGCAGTGCTCCCCAATCCCCATCTGTAAAATGAGGGTGTTCCCTTTCTTTCGGGTTTTCTCCGTCTTGTCCATTGTGATTGCAAGCTCCTTAAGGCAGGGACTGTTTCTCACTATGCATATGTATCGGTCCAGTATAACGTGGCCAAGGTCTCGGTTGTGGTCTCTTGTCATTACTGTAATATCAGTAAATAGGGGCGCTGTTCGCATAGTCCTGGTGAGAGGTGGAGTCCACCCAGCAACATAGTGGATAAGACGTGAAGACAAAGCTTAGAGCAGGGGTCAGCACCGTGCCAAAAACACCTGCAATCTCATGTTAGCCTGCCAGGGGTGGACGACAGGGGAGCCACAAGGGGACCAATTCTTCTTGTGGCTGTGCAGCCCTGGCCCCTTCTGTGCTGTCTACCCTGAGATGCACGTGCCAAGCAAAATGCCTTCATGTGCCACACTCTGGCACCCATGCCAGGGGTTGCCTCCCCCTGGCTTAGAGTTTATTATAGAAATGTAACATTTGGTGTGCTAGAGCTCCATAAGCAGTGTCTGGGAAGATGCTTTGTTGTTTGCTGATGTGCTTCAATACGTGCTTTCCCACCTTGTTGCCTGCCCTATATGTAACCTTCTCAGATGAGCTGGCCACAAAGCAGGAGTTGGCAGGAAACTGCTTAGCAACAGCTAAAAGATCAGATGACAACATTTACTTGAGTCGAGAACATTTCCAGGCTCTGAGGGTATAACGTACGCAGACCCACCCAACCATACAGACAGGCGTCTGTACACACACAGCTACTTACATGCATGCTCTGCCTGATACACACAGCCACATCAAGCAGGTGTGAACAGTAAGTTCTTTGCACATGCATATAGCTAACCTTGGCATCCAGTTGCAGTCACTGCCAGATGCACCTTTGTTGCTTGCATACAGGGATGAAGCTAAGACAAGCCAAGGTGGGAGAGTGAAAGCCCCACAAAACTTTGGCTACTGCACGTCTTTGTGCTGAGCACTGCAGATTCAAGTCCCTTCCTTCCCCTGTGCTGCATCTGTCTCCACTGCATCATGCGGCACACTAACCATTTTTAAAGAGGAATTCTACGGGCCGTCACAGAGTTAACTGGGCAGCTGAATCATCACTCACAAGTAATATGCAATAGTTCATAGAGTCTAGATAGCACCTCTCGAAGCTGTCACTTTTCAGATGAGCTGCGGACAGGTTGCACTTCAGCACAAACAATTTTGAATATAGGGCAAACTCAGCTTTCCTGAGAGGTGCTTCCAAGTTCATCCTGTGTGACAGGGCAGCTCAAAATGCTAAGCGGAATGGAAACCCTCCTGAGTCAGTTTGCCTGGTATTTATTTGCTGATTTGTTTCCCTTGCAAAGGAGGAGAGCTAGAGATGGACGACTGCCTGGAGACGCTGAAAGATGAGGAGGAAGCCTTGTGGGAGAACGTTGAGTGCAATCGGCACATGCTAAGCCGGTACATCAATCCGGCCAAGCTGACCCCATACCTACGTCAGTGCAAAGTGATCGACGAACAAGATGAAGACGAAGTGCTCAACTCGCACATGCTGCTCTCTAAAATTAGTCGAGCAGGTAACTGTCTCCCAAGCGGCCAGGTTTGCACGCTGCATCACTTGTACTGGACCTGATGGGAAGCCTGCATCAAATTGCAGTTTATCAAGGGCCCCCTGTCAGAGGTGCCCTTTAAATTAGAGTCTTGGGAAAATCTGGCATTGCTGCAGATGACGAGCTGTTTAGTAATGGTAACTGTTGCCAAGCTGGTGTTGCGCAGATTGGTATGCTACCAGTTTGCATCCCCAGTATCCCTTAGGCGGTACTCTTCAGTTATGACAGACAGCTACCACTGGGATGGGGGTCCCCACATATCTCTATCAATGGAGCTCACTGCTGGCCCAAAGTCTTCTTTTGAATTGAGCTCTCTTGCCACTTAACAGTGCGAGGTCTACAGTCCTGGCAGGACAGGACACTAAAAGCTTCAGTAAATATCACTGTCTCTCTAAGGCTGGGTTCCAAATACTGCCTTCCCCTTCCTCCAGTCCTTCAAGGTAACAGCCAACACAAACACCGAGAACACATTGCATAGCTTCATGAGACTATCTGAGCTTAGTGTCCCCAAAATACAAATAGTTTTCCATAGCACATGGTGTAGCTGGGACAGCTAAATCTATAACAGGGTCAACCTCAAAGGTACAATGCTTGATTATCTTGTTTTCAGTATTTCCATGTTCTCTTCTCATTGTATTATTTTTGGATAGGCCGACTCTTGGACATTCTGCACACAAAGGGCCAAAGGGGCTATGTGGTTTTCTTAGAGAGCCTTGAATTTTACTACCCTGAACTCTACAAACTGGTGACGGGGAAAGAGCCTACACGGAGATTTTCCACTATTGTTGGTGAGTAGAATCAGTCCCAGGAGAAATTAATTTAAGGAAGACATGAAATAAGAATGATTGTTTCCATCATGAGGAGTGTTAATGATGGTCAGTGTGGTGGTAGCCCTCTGCAAGACCAAACAGGAGATTCCCAGCCTCTCACTCACTATTTTGATAGGGCTGGAAACGGCTAAGCAGTTTGGTGAAAGAAACACCCCTGACTGAGTAAACCTGAAGTGCCCTAGCTAGAATTATTGCAGTAGGAGGTGCCTCCAAAAAACCCCTAAAGCCCACAAAGAATTGTATTGCATGTGCATAATATTTGCATGTCTGCTAACAAGTGCCACTGCATGCATATGCATACTCCACACATGCGTAAGTTTGCACCATTTCTAACGTACTCCAGTGAAGCACGCTGGAGCTTTGGAGCTGATGGGCTGTTTGATACTTTTCAGTGGAGGAGGGACATGAGGGCCTCACACATTTCTTAATGAATGAGATCATTAAGCTGCAGCAACAAGTGAAGGCGAAGGATGTGCAACGCTGTGAACTCTTGGCTAAATCTCGCCAGTTGGAGGATGAGAGAAAGCAGCTGAAATTGAACAAGATAGAGCTGCTGACGTTCCAGGAGAGGTACAACAAGATGAAGGAGGAGAGGAACAACTACAACGATGAGCTGATTAAGGTGAAGGACGAGAACTACAACCTGGCCATGAGATATGCCCAGCTGAGTGAAGAGAAGAACATGGCAGTAATGAGGAGCCGGGACCTCCAGTTAGAGGTGAGAGAAACACTCTGGACTGATTTGGTTTGAATGCTTGGATGGAAGGTAGGCAGTGGTCATTAATTTAATGAACTCTTTTGTGACAGTAGAGAGCGTGGCACTCTCACTTGCATTGCTTATCCAAGTGATTAGAGGTTCATGGCTTAATTAAATGCCTGTGCTAGTATTGTGTGTTAGTAAAAGATACAGAGTTGTGATGGGTGGCACTTATTACCCTGTGAAGCGATAAGTGATATTTCATTTCTCAGCATCAACAATATTTTGGGGCAGATAGTCAAGTTCATGGACCCTATCATTTCTTGGTGGATTATTCAAGGGCTCCAGCATACCAGGTTGACACTGTATTGGGTTGTTCAGGATATGGAAAGGAACTGCTCCAAGAGTACGAGGGCTACATCATGGATCTGCTCTTACCCAGGGTGGAGGTTGTTTTAGCAACACATCTACTGGAGACTTGGTGTACTTTGAATTATGTTCTCTCTTTTCTCTCTTCCCTTTTCAATGGTTTGGGGGTGCCCCAGATTGACCAGCTAAAGCACCGATTGAATAAGGTAGAGGAGGAATGCAAGCTGGAAAGGAACCAGTCCCTGAAGCTGAAGAATGACATTGAAAACCGACCGAAAAAGGAACAGGTTCTGGAACTGGAGCGGGAGAATGAGATGATGAAGACTAAAATCCAGGAGTTACAATCTATTATTCAAGTAAGCAAGATGAGAGATTATGTCCCACATATTACTACTTTCTACTGCAAAAACCAATTGCCACTCCAATTATGCTGATTGGAAATATAGGAGCAAGCTCTATCCCCAGAACTACAAAGCCTGAAAAAATGGAAAGGTCATATAGCTTCCAGCTTTCTCCAGATAACTTCTTAGAAAAGTATGGACCCAAGATAGTGTTATGAAGAAGACATTTCTAACTCGAGAAATACCAAAAAATCAAAATACAGATGCAGGACTCCACCTCACATGGGGCAAAGGGCCTTCTTTGAGGTGCTGAGCATTAACTCCATTAAAACCAATGGGCCACATCCTGGCCCCTCTTGCAGTCCACCACAGCAAAGCCATCTTAGTCCGCTGGATTCCCCTGCAGTCGGGTCTCCATTGTCAGTTCTGTATCACTGTCCACTCCTGGTATAAGGGGACTGGATGAAGAAAGGAGGCATAGCTGATTTATTTTTGCACTCAGGAATTCACCGTTCTTAGTTCTGTGCAAGGTCCAGCTCCAAACTCAGTAAAGGTATAGTACCCTGAGACTTAGAATAACCTGAATAAGCAAAGACTCATATTATTTTGAAAAATAACATGATGATTATGACAACATCCAGAGAAATAAATGAAATAATTACCTGAAAAAGGAACAACTCCCCCTCCCCCCACAGAAGAAACACAACATCCATTTTAGAGCTACTTACCCAGTTAACCAAAATATCACGAGGCTGTCCATCCTAATCAAAGACTTTTTTTAAATGAAAGTCCATTTTCTTGTTTTCATTTTTCTCCCTTTGACTTCTGCTTTTTGTGGCTATTTTTGGATGGTAATTTATTTCTTTGGGAACTCCCATAGCAAGCTTATTAAATTCAGTTCCTAAAGAAAAAAGTTTCTGGACATCCTTGGAAATGAAGTATTAGTTCTAAGCAGTGATTCCAGTGACTCTAGGCATGTTTAATATTCATTGTGCATAACCCCGAAAAGTCTGTGCATGGCTTAAAAATTCCTCTGCATGTTTTCTTGGGCCTTGCTCCTTGGCAAAGGGTGAGCTCTATGTTCAGCACAGGCTGATTAATAGAGAGAGGTTTTGAATGCAGAGTCTGGAATGAAAGATTGTCACTGCATCCAAAATGTTTCAAATTATATTCAGTACAATAAAAACAATCCTTTTTTGGTTCTGCTTCAAAACATTAACAAACATTCATCCCTCCTCCTGCTTTCCATTGCAATTCCATACTCATTTTCTGTCTTTTCTTCTTGCCTGTTTCTTTTTTTCTCTGTACCCCTCTGCTTCTCTCTTTTTTTTTTCTCCCTTCCTCTCCCTCTAAACCATCTCCATTCTCCTCTCAGGCTGACAAACGTAGCTTGCCAGATTCAGACAAAGCCATTCTGGATATACTGGAGCATGACCGTAAGGAGGCTCTAGAAGACCGCCATGAGCTAGTCAACAAGATCTTTAATCTCCAGGAGGAAATCCGTCAGGTAGAGGATCTGAGAGACAAGGTGAGAGACAGACAGAAGGAATGAGATCAGACCACGTGTTTGTCCATGAAGGACCTCTCATGACAGTGTCCAGTGGGGCTTCATTATATTTGTGGGTGGCTGCAGATGCTGGTACAGTAGAAATCCAGTAGGAGTTTGGGTCTGTCCTTTATTTCCCATCCTGAACTATACGTATGATTCTGTTTAGGACAAAGCAGAACCAGATGGTACAAATTCTTCATACCAATTCATTTTCACATGGCATTCACTGCTGCAGAGTAAATTACAGTAAGACCCCAACACCATCCAGCAGCCTGAGCTTTCTCACCGCAGTTCTTTTCAGTAGCCAGAAGGTCTCATGTGTCCGTCTTTGTGTAACCAAGTGTACAGATGAGTGGGCTCACAGTGGTGAACAGGAATCCTCTCCTGGTAGGCAGAGATTGATTGCTTTGAGGTGCTGCATTTATTGATAGGCCTGTGTCATTTGTAGTACCTCGAGGAGAAAGAAGACCTGGAATTAAAGTGCTCGACACTGGGGAAAGACTGTGAAATGTATAAGCACCGCATGAACACTGTAATGATTCAGCTAGAAGAAGTGGAAAAGGAGCGTGACCAGGTATCTGACATTTAAGGCTGGGAAAAGTAACAATGAAAAATGGATGTTTTCTTTTTCTGCTTCTATTGAGAATCATGGGTATCTGAACCGAGAGAGTCATTATGTTTGTTACATGTAGTAATTTCCATTAGAAAGCAAAAGCTTACAGTTACTACAGACTCGTGGTATTTGCCGTGCTCCACTTATCTAAGAGTCTAAGCATATTATAATTCTTCTAATACCACTGGGTGGCATCTGCCAATCCAGGCTGACTTTTTAGCAACAGCCACTGTATTTAGTGTCAAAGGTTTTAGCTTGCTATTAGTATAATAGTATATTGCCAGCAACTATATATTAGTATAAGAGGACATGGCCACCAACCAAGAAGGAGCTGAAATTCTGCCAGCACCATCACCATTATTAATTGTATTGCTATGCTATACAGAGGTCCTGGAATTTGTGCCTGTTTGTGTACAAACATGTAGGAAGAGGGTAGTGCCTGTCCTGAAGTCCTTCTCCATCAATTGAAAATGAGAATCTGTGTGCCACAGGTGTCTAAGGCAGTGCTTTTGCCCCACTGTAGGCCTTCCGATCCCGTGATGAGGCACAGACCCAGTACTCTCAGTGCCTGATTGAAAAGGATAAGTACAGGAAGCAGATCCGGGAGCTGGAGGAGAGGAACGATGAACTCCGAATCGAGGTGGTCCGCAAAGAGGCTTGCATCGTTAATCTGGAATGCAAACTCCGCCGACTCTCTAAAGACAACAACTGCCATGATCAGGTAGGGTCAGGGAAGCCTCCTTTCCCTTCCAGGCTCTTCAGGGGAAGCATGGTGTTAAGGGGCACCTAGTTTTATTTCTATTCCGTTTGTAAACTGTGCTAGCCAGAAAAAAATAAGTTCTGTTGAACAGGAACTTCACTTCAGTGTTATAAAAACTCTCTGGGGCCAATGGGAGGAAGTCAGCTGAGCTGCTCACTCGGATTCTCAAAGACTTGATATTTCACTTCTGTTGAGTCTTGACATTAGATGGATGAGAAGGAGCTGCAAAGGTCTGGAGTGCTCAAATGCTGGGGAAAACACTCCAGAGAGCCGGCCTTAGGGAGAATGGCACCCTGGGTGAACTTGTATTTTAGCACCCCTTCCCCCCACCCCCAAACCTCCCCTCAAGTCAGTGGTGCTGCTGCAGGCAGAGGCAGGTGGGCAGGGGCACGGGGCACAGTCTGGTGGGGAGGTGGAGCGGCGTGGTGCACTGGGTAAGCACCGCTGCTGCCACCCTCACTGCCCAGTCCATCTCCTCCCGAGCAGTGGCTGGAGGCAGGAGCTGGGCTGGGCTGGGCTAGGCTGGGCATTGTTCTTCCTGCCTGGAATGGGGATCATCCAAGGTGGGGCGGGGGGAGGGCACTGCCGTGAGTGTGGGCTGCTCGTGTGTGTGTGTGAGGTACCCCTCTGGCCACAGTGCCCTGGGCTATCGCCCACATCACCCATACCTAAGGCCGGCTCTGGCTCCAAACAGCTCCTTCTGAGGAGCTTGCCCTACTGACCAGTGTTTAAGGACAACCGAAATCCTCGTGAATCACAGTCTTGATTTTTAGTATAAGACTGGAACCACATCCCACCTTATCAGTAGGCAGCAGCCCTATTGCTTGAACAGTGGGTATGTGACTTGATAAGCCTGCCGCCTCAACTGCTCTGCTCTTTGGCCAGAAAATAACGGGAGGCCCGAAGCAGTTGCAGTAAGTTGCTTTCAGAGGCAAATCGTCACTAAAGCCTGTTTCACTTTCCACTCTAGAGTTTACCGAGGAATCTACCAATTACCATTATTTCCCAAACCTTTGGAGCTCATGCCCCCAAAACTAATGGTCAGGAAGCAGATGACTCCTCCACCTCTGAAGAGTCTCCAGAAGATAACAAGTTCTTCCTCCCCGATCAGTCTCGGTTGAAGCGAAGGATGAACCTGAAGGGAATCCAGGTATGTGTGCAGATGAGGCTAGAACTGCGTTTCAGGGGCTCTTGCTTGTGCTGGAAGACCTGGCCCACCAAGCAGTTCTGCCTTTGAGCCTTCTGCAATAGCAAGGCATAGCCTTGTATGTGACAGGAAGACTTAAAATCTTACCCTCTGGGGATTTGTACCCTAGAAATTGTGGAGGAGACGTAGTCGGGCTGAACTGGGTATTTGCCATCCCCTTTCTCCTTCCCACATGCTCTTAGTACTTTGCTGCTCATTTACATGCCTGCTGTGTCTTCAATAAAATGGTTCTTTGCCTTCTTAACAGTAGCAAAAATAAAAAGAGTAAGTCTTCAAAATTGGTGTAATGCCCTAAGTCCAACACACATGAAATGGCTGATTGGAAAATGCAGCTCTGATGAAAAAGCTCACGTTGGCTGGAAGGAGTAATAGAAAGAAATGGACACTATCTAGAGCAAAATTAACTACCTAATTTAGAATTAAATTATGTCCTTCTCCTTAAGAATAAGGAGAAGCATGACTCAGGTCTTTGACTTCCCTGACTGACTGCATCTGCTTCTTCGTTCATGAACTGTAAAAGCTTCCTATCTAAGATTCACGCATGATATATGAACGGCTATTTTCCCATATCCATATTTGAATTCCCTGTGCCCTTCCTAACCTTTCTGAGGCTTGGCTGCTGTTATTGCCAAAAGCAACAGAGCTGCATTTTTACACTGTACCCAATGAAGGGGATGCCTGTTATATTAGCAGTCGCCTAAGATCAGTCCCAAGGGCCCCCCTTGTCTTTTTGTTCTCTCTTCAGAAAGTAGAAACCGCAATGCATTGGGGCCAGATACGTAAAGGTATTCAGGCAGTTAACTCCCACTGAAAAATCTGGGACTTGGTGTTAAGTGACTCTCCTCCCTGCCTCTCTTGATGAGGGCATAGAGGTTGCAGCATGACAATGGAAAAGGGGGAAGGTGTTTGTTTTACAGTGAATGTGACATATGTCCGGAGTTCAGTTTGATTTCTGTCCTTTTTCTTTCAGCTACCGAGAGCTAAATCCCCTGTCGGTATGAACAAAGCATCAGATTTTCAAGGTCAGAGAGAGCACCAGTGTCCCTATTCCCTTTCTGTCAGTGTGTCTCATCCACTCCATCTGCTACCAATTGTTCTAACAAACATGCCAACAAGGCAAACTCTTAACTACATCTGAGATGCTTAAATAACATATTTTCACTTATGTTAAACAATGTTAATCATAATTGGAAAGGGATGGGAGCTCTTTCTGATCTCCCTTTCCATGCCTGGCTCACACTGCAGAGCCATATCATGTCCTATAAGTTGTCTAAGCTTTCCAGCTACTTTACTTAACTTTTATCTTTAATCACAGTTTTAAGCCAAAATTAGCCCTCTATTAAAAATCATCATACTCTGCTTCTATTTCTAGATATGGAGGGAATATTTAGGAGTTGAAAGGTAAATCACCTATTCAGTCCCCCTTCTTTTGGCAAGAGGAAGTTCAGTTTTAACTCTAATCCAGTGCTAAAATGTATCTTTTGAGATTCATTAGCTGACTGTAGTCTCACCAAATTACTGTGTGTGTGTACTCCACACTGCCTGCATTTATCTAACAAATACCATTCCCAAAGATCAACAGTCTAAGCAAGGAACGTGTGCATTTCTTGTGGTGTGCTGGCATCATACTCAGTATGGCACAAAATATAGTGGAAGACATGGTCACTGATCCATGGAGCTCACATGTTAAGCAGACAGCCATTAGGATTCAGACACAAAATATGTGAGATAAGCAGAGACTGATCACTGTCCTTGTAGCAGAAGACCAGATCCAGCTGACTTAATTAATATTAATATCAATAAAGCAGTATTTCTTCAACTGGGGGATTAATATTCATATACCTAATGGAAAAAATGTGTTTTTAAAGAGGAGGTTGAATAAGAGAAAGTAGGCAAGGCTCTCTCCAGAGGTTTGTGCATTCTTGTTTCTGGTTATTCAGTGGGGAGGAAAGGGTGTTGGATTGGAAGACAAAAGAGAGAATGAATTCCTCCCTGAATCCTCCATCTAGTAAGGACAATACAGTGAGCAAACAGGAGAGAAGCCAGAATGGTTGGATAATTCTCAGCATTGCTGGAAACGTGTGGAAGAGTTCATCAGAAGCAGATCTAAAGTCAGTATTTCTGGTGTCTGTCTCCTATGCCATCCCCCTCTTTGTTTCTCTCTGTCATGTGTAAGCGCAGCAATCAGAGGACAGGATGAAGATGGGGCTGATGCCAGCAACAGCCGCACCGACACCAGTTCCTCCAACCCTGTCTCCATCAATAACTCGGTCAGCAGCTGTGAAGTCGGCAAAATTGTAAGGAGCCTTCAGTTGCCCCTTGCCTGTCTGTGACCTTTCCCCATAACGTGGTTCAGAGCTTTCACAACCAAGTGCCAGCTCTGCACTAGCAGCCCAGCTGCGATCAAATTCAAGGCCCCGTCAGCAGCTCCCTAATCCTTTTACAAGCATTTTATTAGAACCATGTTATTAACCTTTTCCAAAATCACATAATTGGCTTATGTTTATTTAAAGATATTTCAACAGGGCTTTACAGGTTATTTACGGCCCCTCGCCGTCTCCTCTACCCATTTAACACTTAGTGGTGAGAAGAGGAAGTGGTCCTTGAAAACTGCTTTGTAATTGATTTTAGTGAAACATTGACAATTCTGTTGGAGTTTCTCATGCCCTTCGTGTCTGTAAGCAACGGCGGGTCAGAGAAGGGGTGTAGCTAGCAGCTGGAAATTTTTGCACACACCAGCCAATCCATTTCTCCCCCGCCTGCAGATTCCCCATAATCTCCCAAGGTAGATTTGTGATATGCACATCGCGAGCACTGCCACAGCAGGTGCAGGTAAATAGAGACGCATGATCTTGCAGAGTGTTAATAAAGGACCCGATGAAGAACAAAACATCTTGCCGGAGCACAGTAAGAAATGCTGCTCCCAGAAAATTAAGAGAGTCCCTTGGACCCTGTGCCACTCATGATAAACTCAGCTGCTTTTATAGGATTATCCTAGGGAATATTAGTTTGATATATTGATGAATTACACTATTTTGATTGCAATGCATTTAAGACTTTAGTGTCTCAACTGGAGTTACTACTTTGTTTATTTATAGCAAGTAAACCTGCCTCCTTCCCCCTTGTTCTGTTTGCCCTTGCATATGTATCTACAATGCGACATGCATCCCACATTTTTCAAGCTTAAAGGGAAAACTCTGCAGTGAAATAACCACACACATTGTGGTGTCAAACCACATCATCTCCCCGTTCAGCGCATACAAAGTTAAAAAATCAGACTGTAGCGACATGTATGCTCATTTACACAAGGCTCTCTGCGCACACAATGCTATTGCTCTAGTCTCAGCTGTGCTTTCCCATGTTCTGTAAAGATCTCTACAAGCAAGCCACCGCAGCAAAACTCTTATGCTTCTTGAAATAAGAAATGGAAACTAGACTTTGCTAAAACCAGATTTTTTTTTCCTTTTTGAAAAAAGCAAACCCTAAGAAATCGCAATTACAGTATCATGTCCACCACTCCCGAACCACCCGGAAACGACTCAATAGTCCGACGCTGCAAAGAAGATGCTCCGCATAGCAGGTGGGTAACTACTTGGAAATAGTGTCGTAACTAGAGGTGAACTGTGCCTTAGATCCTGTTTGGTCTCTCAAGTGGAGTCTGTCCCTTAGGTATCAGGCCTGACTTCTGGTATCTCACACAGACTGGAGCCATGTCCACTCTCAGACTGGATCTCTAGGTCCTAGCCCTGGTTCAGCCAGGTTGATGACAAAGGTCCAAGTCAGCTTGATATTTATAAGACTTTGCTTTTGGGCGCATGTAATAGCATAAGGTTTCTTCACATACAACCGTATTTACTAATTTTTCCAAACTATCAAGGCATAGAGCAATGGGTAAAAACGATTGAAACCAAACATCGTTGTTATTGCCCTCAGCCATCTAACCCCATCTCTAGCAGGGTAAAATGGACTGACTTAGGATCCACTTTAACCCCAAACTATATCTGTGAGAAGTGCAAGCCATTCTAGTTTGTCTGGAGCCAAATCGAGCCAATGAAGGGCTTTTCCATTGTCTCATCCAGGACTTCTTTCTGCATCTGGCCTGGCTGCTTGTCTGGCTTGGTTCCTTTACTAACTTCTTTTAATCTAATTTCATAGCTAGTAACGCATCAGAACCAAACATGCAGCTGTCTGCACCGGTTTTATAACAAATTATGCAGAGATGTCCTTCACATCTGTTCAGTTGCTGTGCTGTTTAAGACAAGGCCCTTGCCATGAGTTCTTGTTATATTATAGCATGCAACCTATTACTGTTGTTGCTACAAATATTGCTTATTTGTTAGGAAGAGTTAAAAATAGTAATTAAAGTTACACAGTGGACATTTTAATAAAGAGGGAAGGAAATGTTGTTCCACTTAGTGTTAGCTGGCTTATTGTCTAGACAGCATTTCACTATTTTTAAAAAAATCTGTTGCTCAATACATTTTTATGGCTATTTTAGTATATATATGCTCTGAAAGGGACAAGATGTATGACATGGCTTTGTTCATGTAGCTGTAGTTACCTTAACTTTCACATTTCCTGACTCTTGCTTGTTTTACAAAGAAAAACTGGGAAGAATGAGAACTACAAAAGCTTGGGTACTGTTAGTACTAACAATGGCAGCAGCGATGTTTTGAAATTCTTGCCTCTGAAACAGTTTTCTGCATGGTCAGGCTAAGCGCAGAGCAGCACATCTGTTTACAGAGCATTGGCTGCATCTCAAAATGTGAAAAAGAGAGTAGGGTAGGCGACATTTCTCAAAAGCAGTCGCTGCCATGGAATGCCTCTGTTTTCAGGTGCCTTAACTGGAAGCACTTAGCACTTGCTTTTCAGAGGAGCCGATTTGTTACTATTTGGAAGCTGAGGATGCTCAGCACATAGGACAATCAAACCTAAAACACAGGGCTAGCCTTATGGATGGGCGATATGGGTGACCACCCAGGATGCCATGGTCAGGGGGGTGCCTAACACACGCACACATACATGTGAGCGGCCCACGCTCACAGCAGCACGTTCTCCTCCAGCACTGCCCCATGCCAGGCAGCAGGAGTGGTGCCCAGCCCAGTCTGCCTTCCACCTCCAGCCGCTGCTCAGGAGGACCCTGGCCAAGGCATGTGCGGGCAGGGTGGCACCTGTTCTAGTCCACCTGCCTTGCTCCCACACAGCAGCAGCAGTGCTTGACTGCGGGGAAGCAAGTCTCCTGATCCAGCCCAGCAGCTCCCCCAGGGCTTTATTGCTGAAACTTTCACTAATACTACTACATACTTAAACCCAAAGAAATGCCACCAAAATATAAGTTTGCCCGGGGAACCATTCTTCCTGAGGCTGGACCTGCTAAAACTGGATGCCAGGCAACTGTTATCAGTGGCCCCCCTGAGCAGTGGCAGCTTTTGAAAATGTGTCTGTCCAATTTTGTAACGATCACTTACATTTTTCAGAATATTGCAGGCTGCGGTAAAAGCGGTAAAGATGTCTGAAAACAGTAATAGCATCCAAACACTCACCCCCGTGGCTGTCCCCTGTTTCATACATTCAGGCGCTGGGGGTTTTGGAAGGACCACGCTGTGTGTATACTGCATGGAAATATTTGCAATCTCCTTCACACAAATTGTTCCAGCAGCAGCTCTGTTTCTGTCTGACAAGAGCAGAAGACGCACGGTGTCTAGCAGGATAGGGATATGGCCTCATTTAGCTGAGTTAAAAATCCCTGAAGTCACATCTCACTGGAGCATGCTCAGTACTGATTTCTCAGTAGCTTACAACTTTATAATTAGCCTGCCAAATTTTTTTGAACTTGTTCATGGAGCTACTCCAAACTAATCACTATTTACATGCCAAGTTTCAGGTTTTACACTTCAGCTGTTTTTTATTTATTTGTGTGAAAGAGAAGTGAGGCTAATTTATTACAGCAGGAAAACTTGGCTTTTTCCATGGGGTCTTGCATAATATAAGAAATAACTGAATTGATTCTCCTCACACTGTCTGCAAAAATCCACCCCTCACTTGGGACCAGAGATTAAAAAAAAAAGCCCCATGTGAGCCAGAAAGGAGAACTTTAGAAAGGGTTGAATGGGTAAAGGCAGGGAATTATCATTTAAATCAGTTTGCATATGTGCCATACTGAATCCCTTCTAGATGACTGCCCCGTTAGAGTATGCCATTGGCTGGATGCTTCATTTCTCCTTTGGGTCCAAATTTCATGATGAGGAACTTGCTAATCCATATGTTGGTTCTTTGCGGTCACTGGCATTTTCTTGAAGATGCTATTTACTAGGTGGATCAGAATCTGGCCCTTAATGTTTTTTTAACATAGATGTCAGGTAGCCCTGGGATGACTATGGACTATGGACCTGGTGCCCACTCCCACTCCAACTGAAATGAAAGGATTAATCTGACTGATTGCAATGGCATTGAATTGGAAGCAGACAGAGAAGAATGGTCCATACCTAGCCTTGTTCACCTTGACATTCCTCTGATTTCACCAGGCATTCTGCCGTGTCAAGGGCACCTCAAAAATGCTGTTTCATTACTTTAAGTATACTTGAAAATCATAACCAAAGTAAAACATTTCTCCGTTGCTGTACCTCAAGTGCTTTCTTTGCATTAACTATTCCCATCAGTGACACTGTGACATTTTGGACCCATTGAGGGATAAAGAACATGGCAGTAGAAAGCAGGTATTGTGCAGGCATCATATCAAAAAGTTCAACAGAAGTCAGGTCAACCATTTCAGGACACCAGAGACTACAACTTCCCTGCGTTTCCCATCAGAACCTCCATTACTTCTCTTTTGTTAACACTTCCGCCTTCTGAAACTTTTTGCTGCTTCTCATGCTTCCTTCCCCTCTATAACCCCGTCCAGAAGTTTCCCGTGCAACCTTCCTGCTTCTTCCCTGTGCCCACATCTCAGCAGTGCTCCTTCTCTCAGATCCCGTCAGGAGCTGTTGAAAAGGAAAAGTCTCATTCTCTCTTGCTCTGTTTTTTTTAATTCTAGCCTTGTTGAAGAGGACAATGACAGCTTTAGCTGTGATACTTTGGAGCTAGATGGTAAGTGAGAAATACCATTTATGGACCTTTATGTATCATGATCCTGGTCCTTTAATTCACCAACCATATAGACTGCCCACCAGACTCTGTTATCACACACCGGGTAGATGGGAAGAAGGATAATGATGTGCATTGGCTTTCTTTTAATACGGGCAAAGTTGGGGCAGAAGAGCGGCACCTGACATTCACCCATTTCCATCAACACAGGCAGAGCCTAATCAGGAGTAGAAGGACTCCCACCCTTCACCCACTGAAATACAAAAAGCAAAGACCAGATCCATTGTTTCATTCATAGGAAGGCCATTTGCTGGGGTCCTCTAAATTCAGGGATGCAGGGATCAGAAGAGAGAGGAATGAAATGTTGAAAAGGAAATAAATGGCCTTTTCCCTTTACATGGTGTAGGAGCTCATCTAATCCAAGCCTTCCATAGCAGGTGTCACGATCAGTTGTGCTGGAGGTACAGCTTTGGGAGAGGTCACAGCCTTTCCCAGAAGGAGTTGTAGGGGATGGTGAATGGATTCACACTTTGTTTCAATAACTAAGCATGGAACTGGGAACCAGGAACTCCTAATTCCTCATGTTGGCTCTGACCCAGAACAGGTGTATGATTTTGTGCAATTTGCTGAACCACTCTGTATCCCACTTTATTTCTGTGTACAAAGGGGATAATGATGCTTCCCTTACAGGCCTGTTGCAAATTTTAATTAATGTATATACAATGTTTCCTGCGAGAAACTTGCAGTCCAGCACTCTTTCACTATTTCTGCAGGCTCCGATTATTTATGGCAAAAACATTTCTGTAAGGCTGCTAATTTACAAGGTGCTTTGCAAACATAAATGCATGCTCTGTCCTGAAGATTTACACAAATTTACAGTTGCCCACAAAAATCTCAGGTCAGCACTTCAGAAGAGGAATGATGAAAAAAACCCCAACATAGTGAGGAGTTATTCTTTGAAGAAGCAAATTCAGAGAGAGATTATACAGGATAGGGCAGAGGGACTGCATGGCTCGTAGGCGCTGAATGGGCAGAAAGCATCAATGGAGCCAATGGTGACCAGATAAACTTAGAGGGAGCAGGATTTTTACTGCTACCTCTGGGGCCAGTGGCCACTAATCCTACACCAGATCAAAAGAATGCCTTGACCTTGGACTTGGACTTGGCCTCAGCTAAGCTGGTCACCCCATCCATGACTGCATTTTATTTTGTGTCCCTTTTCAGATGATGGTCATGACAGATACTCACACGGAGCTCCCTCAGTGCACTCCTCCTCCTCTTCGCACCAGTCTGAGGGCATGGAAGCCTATGACCTTGAGCATGTCAGCTCCATATTTAGGAAGTTCTCTCTGGAGAGGTACTTAAGGGGCACTGGTTTAACTGCTTACGGCTGACCTAGGGTTGGAAAGGATCCTGAGGTAGGGTTGTCACCTTGTAATCTTTGCTTGGCCAGATATGATATTGTGGCAGAAATGTTAGAAGGCAAGTTATTGTCTGGCAGGGTATTTCATAGTATGCTGAACTTTGCTTTCTTACATTCATGTGTTCCAGTGCAGCAGCTCACCATAGGATTTTTGGACCGTTTTCTGTTTTACAAAGCAAATATTTGATTGCTTCCTCAGAACGGTGCCTATCCCATAACCATCAGAAGAGACAACTGTATATGAAGAGAGTAGCTTCATTCTAGGAAGCTTGTTATCGCACTCCTGCTGGTTACTAGATGCTGTGCTGTTGTACATCTGAGGTTATTCAGTCATGTGTCAGCACTTAACGGTGTCCAGATGCTGTTTTCAAATGTAACTTATGAACTAAAACTGAAGATTTCTCTTAGAAGCTTTAAAATGTAATATTTGATAACCATAGAAAGCTTGGTTATATCCCCTTCCCCATTTATCCTGCATGAAGCATTCCTATTTTTAGACCCAAGCTAGTTGAGGAAAGATGAGGCCAGCATTGTCTAAGCCATTTATTTCTTTTGTGAACCCAGACCTTTCCGTCCCTCTGTCACATCTGTTGGTCGCATTAGGAACTCTTGCCACACTGTCCAGCGAATCACACTGAATGGAGACAGCCTCAGCTCTGAAATCACTTTGCTCGGGGGCAATGACAAAGGAAGCTTTATCAGCTTTGTCAAGATGGGATCCCTAGCAGAGAAAGCAGGCCTCCGGGAGGGGTACCAGCTGCTTCTGGTGAGTACTAAATAAACAGCCGTGTGCATGTATGTGCATGTGTGTGCATGCATGCCACAGAGGAAAAAAAAAGAGCTCAAGAGCTCATTGCAGTAGTCTCTTGTAGTGTCTTATTTCTTCTTTTGCTCCTATGTTAATGAGAAAACCCAAATATCTTCTGCAGCCAGTATTCCTACCTCTTCGGCTCTGCTAGTGACTCCTTCTGGGAGAGACTGGAAGTGTGCTATTTGTGGGTTTCCAACCCACCTGCACATTAAATGGTGCAGTGACTCTTGATGGAAGAGACTGGGACTAAAATAGCTGTCCCTCCCCATTCTTTAGAGTGACGTCCCTTTGAAGAGGCTAGGACTAGAGTGGCTGTGAGCTTTTCTGGCAGCTGGTGTCCTTATAGTATTATACCCAATAGCAACTCCTGCCTGGAGAAACTGTCACTCCAGTAGCTCTGTGCTTTGCTCAGCACTGCTGCCCTTGCACCATTCCCTAGAGTGACTCTTGCCGTGACTAGATATGCTATGAGTTTTCTCCCACCATCAACCTTCCTACATCCTTATTTATTACTACTTTTGCTAGGAAAAGATAGGAAGAGAGTGGCTGTCAGCTTCTCCTTAAACTAGCCTTCTACACCATTCCCTGTAGTGGTCCCTGCAGAATAAACATGGATTGTCACTGAGCTCCAGGTCCATCAACTTCTAGTATGTCTAGCAGAAGAGAAAACAATTCAGAGATAAATAATAAAAATGTAATATTTGTATGCTGGTAGCAAAAAATAACTTGTTTTAATTTTGAAAGAGAGTCCATAGTTTATCAGGTGGTATAACTGCCACACATGGAGCGCACAACAGAGAATTCTTTCTTTCTTATCTAGCTGGAGGGCTGCATCAAAGGGGAAAATCAGAGTGTTCCCTTGGACACCTGCACCAAGGAAGAAGTTCATTGGACAATTCAGAGGTGTAGTGGCCCAGTAACACTCCAATATAAACCAAATCATGAAGGTAAGACCTGATGTTTGGGTTTGCAAGGATTCTAGTATAAAGGAAGTTCTTTGTTGGGCCTGAATCTGAAGCAACTACACTGGCATCTGTAAAGTTACTTATATTTACACCAGTGGAACTGAGATCAGAAAGAAGCCCTACATTTGTCATTGGAACCATCTGAAGCACTTACTGGGTGGATCATTAGAGACAGTATTTACAACATGTCAAATTATTTTTGCACACTATTTCCTATCATGGAACATGGTGTGCTGTTTTTTTTTTAATTTTTACAGAGCTGAAATCCAATTTGTACCTAGGTGTTCGTCTTGTTTATTAGCTCTGCAGATACATCTTATCTTTAACAGCTGGAGTTCACACATGGTGAATGGACTTTCATTTAGTGATCAGGACTTGTAGTGATAATTTGATGGTATGGAAAAAAAATGACATCCCAAAAGCCACTTTTACTGGTTCAGGGATATTTTCCCCTTCTTTCTACTTGTCAGGAAAATTCACACAGGAGGTGATTTTTTTTTTCTTTGATGTGTTAAAAAATAGGTAAGAATATTACAATTTTTTTCAAGCACCACTTGGCTGTGCATAAAGTGTACTACAGATTGTGGGAGTGCCAATTAGAGCTAATGAGAAAATAAATAACCCCCTATTAAAATAACCTGGCAGAACTCATGCTGTATTTGCAGGATGAAACTTTTGCTTTCTGCCTCTGTCTCGGTTAGAAAGTTTTACTGTTTTATGGATCATTTGTATGTAACGATCAAAACTGAGGTTGCCTAGGTGTAAAATTCTCCTGGCAGTCTCTGACGCGCAGTGTGAACTGTTCCCAGAGGAGTGTCCTGTCACTCTCTTTAAGACTCCAGACTCGTAGCCATGCCACAATCACTCCAAGTAGCAATCTAGCAGGGCCAGCTTCTCTCACGTCAGTATAAACTAGAACGTAAGCGCCGCGAGCATCTCCCTCAAGAGTGCCCACTCCTCGAATGCTAAGAGTACCGCAGCGGGCAGCTCTCGGCCCCCCGCTGTGTATACTTATCTCTCTCCGTTGCTGCCACAGGGTACCGGAAACTGTTGTCAGAGCTGGAAGAAGGGCTGATCACATCAGGGGATTCATTTCACATCCGCCTGAATCTGAACATCTCGAGCCAGCTGGACTGCTGCTCCTTGTCAGTGAAGTGTGATGAAATCGTGCATATTCTTGACACAATGTACCAGGGGAAGTGTGAGTGGCTGTGTGCCAGAGTTGATCCTTTCACTGACCGGGATCTGGAAACAGGGACCATTCCCAGCTACAGCAGGTGAGCACAGTTTAGGCTGAAGCAAAAAAACAGCTGTGACTGTGATCAGTCGCTGTCTGAACTGTTTAAAGCCTCTCCTCTCTTCACATCTCAAAACTGGTGGAGCTGCACAGTGAGCCGGAGGGCTTTGAGGGGAGACCCCCCAATGGTGCCGAAAGGAGGCTGGGGTGTTTCTTGCAAAGTAGAAAGATATACAGTGAAGACTCACTTTTCCTTAACAGCACCACAGAACTGCTTTTGTTCCCTGCCTTTACTGTCTGGTTCAGCCACTCCTCCTTGCTATCCCTCTGTTTGACCTTTTCTGTAGGCACTGACCCATTGCATTCGTTCCTCCTCTAGCTGGTCTCAACTGCTTCTTCTTGATCCACATAGCTGCATTGTTTTTTTTAGAGCCCAGCAACTCCTTTTGGTGAAGCTGCAGCGGTTGATGCACAGAGGCAGCAGGGACGAGACAGAAAGTTCATACAATACTTTACGAACGCTCCGGGTAGGTATCCACAGCCACAGCCTTTTTGGGTCAATTCATCCTATGCCCTGCGTGTTTCAATACTTAACATTGCATTAAATGCCTGATTTGAAACACTCTCCGTAAGCTGTCTTGTGCTACCCCTGGGGGGGACGGCCTTGCATTTCCATACCTTTCAACCAGCAGGATTCCCTGCAGCAGGTCTTGCTTCACTGTAACTTTATCCCCTCATACTGGTGAGGGCCAGTCTCCACAGATGCAGGATCTGCTCTACCTGGTAGCTATTCCATTTCTGTCTGCGCTGGCTCTACGTTTCCTTCAGTGCTGCATAGGGAAGAGCCATGTCCTTCGAGCTAATCACCAGAATTGTTTCTCTTCTTTACTTGAACAAGTAACTCTCAGTGACCCATACTGGAAGGTTTTGTCTCCATCCAAAATATGCCCTGTGCCCAGAAGTGGAATTAATGTCTTTCCCTCAAAGCTGAGCGCCAGATAGTTCTCTAGTATGCCTGTGTCCACAGATCAAGGGTCAGCGTGGATGGAGATGATGGTCATGTAAGCTCCAATAAATGTAAATAGTCCTTTTAACCAACAGTGCACAGGTCACTAGACAGGTGACCTCTCTGGTCAATTATACAGTGTAGGCACTGCCAGAGGCTCCCACGGAGAGAGGGATGTGGGTAAGTAATAACAAGTGTGGAGTTTATCAATATGAGCAGCGCTAGCTCCATAGCTGGCACAGAATTGCACTGACTTTTATAATTGGTACAAATATTAATGAATAATGATGCCCTTGTCTGGGAATAACTGCATTGTGTGTCTTTCGGAGATCTGTTTCATTCTGCAGCTTTTTAAAGAAAATCTTTTCCTGTGCAATTCTTATTAGCACACGCTGCAGCCAGAGGAGCCTGTCCCACAGAATGACCCCAAAACCAGCCCTCGCCTGTCCCGAGCAAGCTTTCTTTTGGGCCAAATCTTACAGGTAATAAAGCTCAAATCCTCCTCTACATTACTGCTAAGCATGGTTTTAAATGAGACATTTGAGTCTGACTTCTCTTTGTGATGTTTTCCAGTATCATAACTTTTGAGAGGCTACTCTCCCATTCAGAAACTGTACAAGAGTTTCTGACTGCCACAAGGAGCTTTAAATATATGAGAAAAGTGGAATGAATTTTGCTTTCTAGCTGCCTTCCTTGTGTGGGATCTTTTTATGCCTTCCTTCTGTTGCAATTCTAGCATACAGCCATACCCTGGAAGGCTGAAATGTATTTGATTTGAATCATGACAATGAATCCTTTTGGCCAAAGCAAGTCTCTTGTTATCTGGGAGAATAATATTTCAGCATCAAATGATTCTTCAATTCTAGGGTCAGTTATGTTGAGTGAGTTGGAGAACATATGGGTGAGTGCAATGGAAAGGTAATATGGGCTGTTTGGTTGCGGATATGCAACTGCTGGAGTAAATATTTAAATGAAAGGATAGATTGACAGATGATGAATGAATGAATGAAGCATATTCCAGGATGTGAAATTCTACCATAGGTGAAGGCTTTTGGACTCAACAGTCTGAACAATGGGTGTTGCAAGAAGGAAGGAGCAGATCGCTGGGTATAATTTGTGGTACCATTGTACTAACATTCATAGTAACCACGCTGCTCTCTGTGAGTTCATTAGTGCTGAGGCTGTTGTTGTCAGCAGGTTTTGGAAAGGAAGAAAAAAAACATGACTTATAAGTAGAGTGAGCAAAGTAAAATCATTTCACAGGGGATTTGAAAAGGCTCTGGGTCAGATCTGTGATCTGTAAAGAGTCTTGGGATTCAGACAACAGCTCCGTGAAGGAATTAGACAACCTGTAGTCTCATCTTTGACAGACATATAGGCGATTCAGATCTCACAGGTAATGGAAGAGGGTGTGGAGAGTTGACAAATGATACAAAGAAAAAAGAATTTGATCCGTAGAATGAATGAGGATGAAGCCTCTCTCTTTCTTTTTCAGTTTGTCAGCAGGTCTGAAAACAAATACAAGCGCATGAACAGCAACGAGCGAGTCCGTATTGTCACTGGCTACCCCTCTGGGCTGGCACGGACCTCTTCTGAAGCAATGAAACTGTTGCCAGATAAATTGGAAGGTATGGACATGACAGAAATGTTATGCTTGCTGTACCTAGATGTAAAAGACTATGCAAATATAAGCCAATGGAGATTTGAGTCCTAGGACTTTCTCATATCTGACTAATATATTCATGTGAAAGCTAGATAATACTGGTGCTTGAAGGCTTATATTTTGCCGAAGGGTCTGGGTGAAGATAGGCCTGGGAACCAAATCAACAGATCCACTTACACCTTCTCTTTTGTTGACAACTGTTCTTAGGTTTCCTCAGGTTCTCCCTCTTAGGACACTTCACTCAAAATAAATTTAAGCTCATAATCAGGGAAATTTTCTAACTAAATGGCCTGTTAAACTGTCAGTCTCCTAAGGAAAATGGTGAAGATACTGCTTGAATAATTTACAACCATTGCACTGGAGAATATACAGTAGAGGAATGGACAAGATGAAACATGTCATTCCCCTCTCTAGTACTGTAATTCTTCTATCTTCTTGTCCCACAATTGAAGAACAAGCTAGTTTATAAACAGTCTCCTCTTTTCTCAGATATGGATTCTGAAAGTGAAATAAATAAGAGCCTCAGCCTGATCCCCTATAGCTTGGTACGACCAATTCATTGTGATCGCAGGCGTCCCGTCCTCTTTACTCCCACTATGCTTGCCAAGCCCCTGGTGCAGAAGCTTTTGAACTCTGGAGGTGCCCTGGAATTCAACATGTGTAAGCCAGGTAATGAATAAAAGAGTATTATGCAAGTGCATACAAATGTGTGGGCATATGTTGCAGCTACTTGGGTCACCTTCATCCACATCACAGTGAAGTGTAGGTCTGGATACTATAGCGTGTGAATTTGTGAGAAGCTCTGAAGGTTTCTGAATTAGCCATAGTAAGTAGTTCTGAAGGCCCATATTGGTGAAATGTTGCACATTTGTATGTTCAATAGCTGCCATAACATGCTTCACACTTTGTGACTGGGGTGTCGCGAGCGCTCTGGCTTCTGTAATGTTCCAATCCGGGTGTGTGAAGTTTTGATCAGCTTGTGTCTGGGTGCTACAACCAGTCATACAGTTTTATACAGTCCAGTGCCGTGAAGACCTTGCATCTGATCTTCTCCAAAGACAGGGCTTCTGAGTGAAATCCTTTTTTTTTTTTTTTTTTTTTACTGTTTATCGTTCAAGCCAGCATCCAAGCATTGTGATTCCTACCTCTGAAAGATCTTCTGTTCTGTTAAAGAATAATTGGTTTGAAATCCCAGGACCCATACCTGAGTAATTATTAAGACCTTAAACTGATAAAACTGCAATAATCTGAAGATTCTAATTTACTCTTCATGATTTTTGTGGTTTGCTTATTATTCAGCATTTCCCTCATTGGACCCCGAAATTGGTCTGCTTCTCGTCGGTTTTACTTTTGGATCCCCATGCTTTAGCACAGTGCTTCAGGATTTGTCTTGCAATGTTTATTCAGTGTGTATGCTGAGCTGAGTAAGCTATTCTGGGGGGTGGACCATCTTTCTATTATGTGTTTGAACAATGCCTAGCCCAATGAGACTGAAGCATGTTGACCCTACTGCAATGTAAGTAATAGCACTGCAATACAGTAGCGTGGTACTGAGCAGATTGCTATCCCAGTTACAGCGGATCCTGGACTGGGTGCTGCAGATCCCAGTTACTCTCTGACATTAGGTACTGGAATGCTATTTACTGAATCGTGTTCTTGTCGTTTGATGCTTTCTTGTCCTTTGTGTTCTGTTAATTGCTTGGGAACTCAGTGGTGCAGGATATATTTGAGGTTCTGAGCCAAGATCAAGCTGGGCTTTAGCTGAATTAAATGAATAAAATGAGATGAGCTCTCAAGAAGACAGCTCATAGTTGATCTTCTTTCACTGTATCCTAACTGAAATACTGCTGGATGATTTCCTAGGTGTACAAAATGTGTGAATCTGCTAACCTTGCCTTCCTCCACTTCTCTCTCCAGATATTGTAACAAAGGAAGAGTTCCTCAGGAAGCAAAGGACAGAAACTATCATATTTTCCAGAGAAAAGAATCCCCACACCTATGAATGTATCGTACCTGCCAATATTGAGGCTGTCACTGCCAAGGTGATTAGAAAGGAATGCAGACACTCTGTTTCCAAAAGCAGCCACATTATTAAGGACTGAAGTTTTATGAGTAGTTTCTCCTCTCCTCTGTCTCTCTTTCTCTCTTCTTTCAGTCCCCAGCTTATATTTACCTTTCCCCAAATAGCTCTTGCTTTGTGCAATCACTTTTTTCTTTCTTTTCCATCCTAAACCATATCCTTTTACATTTCCACTCACTTTCTATGATGACTCGCATTGATACGGTGAAATAGCCTTTTATTTTCTACACGCTCTTCCATCTTCAGTCCCCCTTTTTCATATGTATATGTGAATGTGAAAAGAGGAAGAGTTACAAGGAAAGAACAGACTGAGACACAGAGACGGTGACATACAGTAAAAAGATAACATGTCAAAAGCAGACAGTTCACATCAGTTACAGTATAGTTGATGCATAGTAGGGGAAAAAGGAGAATTAAAACATTTTTTCCAGCAACTAGCTGTAACATATTTTCTCATTGAACAAAGACTAAACATGTGTTTGTTTCTCTATCTAAAATTTACCTAAGTGTTTTATCCTGTGTTTCATCTTTAGATCAATTCCTTCCCATTTTTAAACCTGCAAACACAGAGTTCTTGTACTAAATCAGCTCTGGGTATTGTTTGTTGCCAGTCAGTGGCTAGGTGTGAATCGGTGGGAGGAGTTTAGCCCTGAAATGTGCAGTTGATTACAAAGAAGTTAAATCTGTGCTGTGATAAATAAAGGACAACTCACCTGACCTAGCTGAGGGGGGATATAGCCTTATTTCAAGATATTATTTCTATGAATGTTCCTTCATCGCATTGTTATCACTTTGTTTTTAGAATAAGCATTGTCTACTGGAAGCTGGAATAAGTTGCACAAAGGATTTAATCAAAGCCAAGATATATCCCATTGTTCTCTTTATCAGAGTCTCAGAGAAAAACATCAAGAGGTTCAGGTAACGTATCAAACCTTTTGAACATTTGATATTCTTATTCACTGAATAAAACTACAGTCCCGTGACTATCTCTGAGCAAAGCAGAGCTTCTTCTCTCTCATCTCATGCTTCTACTTCTTTTCTCCCATCTAGGGCTACTCTGTGCACTATTTTCTTCTGTGATTCCTCCCTGAAGTATTACAAATGGAGAAACTATGAGTTCCAACAGGTCCATAACTCCCTTACTCTTCATGATAGCAATGATCTGACCCCCAGTTACCTTTCCTGCTTGGTGCAGGGGGCTGGACCCGAGGATCTTCCAAGGTCCCTTCTGGCCTTACAATCTATGAATGCTTGTTGAGGGAATTTGGGTTTGGAGGATCTATGAGGTTCCCTTTAGGCAGCACTCCCATGCTATTTCCTACAGCAATTCCAGCTGGGGATCTGGAGCAGATCTCCCTATGCACAATGCCACTTCATTGTTCCCCATGACAGTTTTGTTGGGAGAGTTGTTCTCTGTAACAACCAATTAGTCTCTAAAGGGCTAGCTTGCCCTACCTTCTATCTAACAACTCTTCATGGGACAGCTGAGATTGTCGGGATGTTTTAAACGTAAATTCATTCTGTTTCTTTTTTACTTGGTCATCTGATGCAGGAAGCTACTGCCAAAACCAGAGACTGAGGATGAGTTCCTACGTATGTGCCGACAAAAGGAAAAAGAACTAGAGGCATTGCCATGTCTTTATGCCTCTATAGAGACAGATACGTGGAGTAGCATTGAGGATCTCATCCGAGTCATCAAAGAGAAGATTGCAGAAGAGCAGCGTAAAACCATCTGGATAGATGAAGATCAGCTATAGAAAACAATAAACAAAATGAAGCTCTTTGGTAATGAAAGGACACATCAAAGTAGAACTGGGGCTTTCAGAGGTCTCTGATACAGTGCCCTTGACTCCTGTTCCATCCTTGCTGGCTGAGGACTCTTGCTGCTGGCAGAATGTATGTGCGGATGGGAATTCGAGCTGTGTGTTTAACAGTGAATGTCACAGATGCTAGGGATCTAGGACACGGATCAGAATGCTGCCACCAGCATAGCTTCTGACCCACCAGCCTCCATTCAGAGACTGCAGCTGTTTAACACGCGAGAAGGACAGAGATCTCAAGAGGGAGTTTGAGAGAATTCATTTTATATAAATACAGACCTCATTTGGCTCATTTAACACTCCTGACGTGACCAGACAAGTGTATCCTATAGGGAGAGAAAGGATGAGGGTCAGGCTAAAGGACATGGAACCTGCGATGTGCTCTACAGCCGAAGTGAAGTTGCTGAATGTATGCCATTAAAGAAGCTGCAGGCTGCCCAGTAGCAACAGAAACACTGCCACTGATAGCCTGAGCGGCTCTGCAGCCCTGTTTGTATGTGCATGTGCAGTCAGAAGGGAAGGACGGAAACCAGCCCTTATTCCTGGCATTAATTAAAATGACAGTCTACTCTTTATTTTTAAACCTCTGCTTAACAATGCGCACAGTATTCTTCTGTAGTCATGACACTCTCAGCAAAGCAGCCTCCCAATTCCCGGTGGCAAATCAAACCTTTGCAGCTCTGTCCATGTTTCACGTAGGCTATCCCTGTTTTGGCTGTTGCACTCCTGTACTCATTCAAGCACCTCTGTCCTTAACAAATATATTTTATTCCAGATGGAGAGAATCAAACTGACCCTCCTGGAGACTGGCTGTTTCCATTTAACCACTGACATCTACATGCTTCCCCAGCACTGCTGCTTGCTAGCATCTGTGCTCTGAGCAGGAGGGACCAGTGCCTTTTGCCATGATTACCATCAAAGTGGCCAGTGAGCATGTCACTGTGCTGTCACTTAAGTGCTGTAGATGCTCGCAGTAAATTTTTCAAAAATGCTTGAGTGGCTTAGGAGTCCAAGGGCCATTTTGAAAAGCAGCTAAGTCACAAAGCAGTCAAGTTTCACTGCAGAGCAATAGGACTTATGCTTCCTGGTTACATAGGGCTTTGGAAAATGTTGCCCTATACAGTAGGCACTGAACTGAAACCACCAAATTTCATTTCACAGCAGCCATCAGGAGTGACATACACCATTATTGACATGGTATGAATTCAAATCAACAACTTAGCTTTTCAGTGGGCACATCTACGCGTTTATTAATGCATCTTAGATACTGCACATTTAATTTAGTACTGCCTTAATAAAGTACTAACTAAATGCGCGGTACCTAACATTACTGCACAGTGGCACCAGTTCACAGTTATTTAGTGACACTTACTGCACATTAGCTTAATAACACTGCACAGTAGGCTATTAGCATGGTTTTTGCTGTGACACGCTACCGTGCAGTGTTTTTAGGCTAATGCGCAGTAAGCATCCTGTGTAGATGTGCCCAGTCTGTTGTGTATCCAGCTACCCCAGAATCAACCATTCCTTTCTGTTTTTCCAAAGGGATTTTATATGGAAAATGCTCTTTGATCCTGTGCTGATCCTAAATCCCTGGCTCCAGTGCTCCAGGCCAGCACACAGCAGCTATTAATAAAAAATCACAAAGTCCAAACAAAACATCTGGCCTGGTCACCCACACCAGACAAGCTTCTGCAGTGTGTCCTTGAGCGAGGCTTGTGACGTTCTTGGAGTGCTCGGTGCCTCCACATTGTGATGTGTTTGGGTCTGTCCCTGTTGGCTTACCTGACCGTGCCTATCCTTGTCATGGTGCCCATTATTTTTTAATTCACGGTATCTTTTAGAATTCATTTGTGTCAGTTTCCATCTTACTTACGGCTCCTGTTCCCATCATATCATTAATGTTTAAAAGGCTGTTCATAGCAAGTATTTCTCAAAGAACAGGTACTTTCCTGCCCCTCTCTCTCCTGGGAAGCTGCCCTCCACAGCTAACGGGATGAGAAAGATGATATTTCTACTGCTACTCTTACCTCTATTTTGCAATTGATAACAATTACAGTGTGCATGTGCAATGACCTGCAGCCCCTTCTGGGGCAAATGGTGATAGCCAACTGGTGTACATAGCAAACATGACCCCCCCTGTAACTCAAGAGATAAAGAAAATACCATTTAGGAGAGGACATTTTCCGGACGTTCACCATATCCTGAGATTGCAGGTCTTAGTGCTGAACCTTCTTTATCCAGAGAGAATGAATGGGAAGAGAAGGAATAGCAATTGTGATCAGATGAAACAATAGACCTAATACTTTTTTATAAACCAGAACAGGAGTGAGTCCATGAAGAGGCAGAATCTCATTGTGCCTTAAGTTCCTATTGTGAGTTTTGAGCCTTGCTGATACTGCTCAAGCCCTGGTGATACTATTGTGAATGTCTGTTCATGTATACTAGTTGAGCCATACACCTTTGCAACCCATCGAAACATATTCAGCCATACAAGCTATCAATGTGCCTGTGGATTTTCCTGTCAGGGTAACTGTTGGCGTCAGTGTTTGGATTCAGCCTGGTAGAGAGAAGGGCGTGAGGTGCAAACTTGAACAAGATCTACAGGTCAGTTAGTTAATTTTTCATTGTGATGTATTGTTTTAAACACCCCCCCGCGCGCGCGCACACACACGCACGCACACACACACGCACACACGCACGCACACGCACACGCACACATAGATGCATGTCCTTTTAGGTATGGCCAACCTGTTCATCATCCTGGGGTAGCAGACAACATGAAGCAGAGATTGTAAGGGAGCAGACGCAATGACTAATCCAATTGCCCACTAGAAAGTGAATTGGAAATGGTACCAATTATTATAAAATAGAAATGAGCCCAGTCTAAACTCTCCAGTGCATGAGGATTTGAAACCAAGCTTTCCCAAATTTCAGGGTGTCCTGTAGATCCGAGACTATCATCGCTGTTCTGTGTTTGCACAGTAGTTATTAACACAATGGAATTTTGTTTTATGACTGGGGCTTCTAGTTGCTACTTCTATACAGATTAATAATATTTCAGTCCATTAAAGAGAGAAATTCAAGCTGGAGGCCCAGGTTCAAATTGGAATTCGGGGTTTGGACTACGCCCATCTACTGAAGACACATATGAAAACCCATTGAATATATGTACAGTAGGTAAGCTCTGTTTCCAGCAAAGTCTCTTGAAATCAATCTGCTGAAGGTTTTTAGATGGAAGCTGGAAACATTTCTCAACTTTGTTCATATCTTAAGTTAGACTGAGTTTTCCAAAACTCAAGATATCATGTCATGCCACTTGACACACTATTTGTCAATAAAAGCACTTATAGAATAGAGAAATAACAGGCTTTTTAAAACTATACTGTTAGAAAATCTATTTCCTCATTCCTTTATGAGAACAAAACTGAAAAGCCCATTGAAAACTTTTTCAAGGGAACATTTTCTGTTGGAAAATGCCATTTTGTCAGATCAAAACTTTCCATGAGTATGGTGAAATTTCATTTTAAATAATTGAAACAAAGTGTTTTAGTATAATTATGTTCCATTTCCACATTTTTTGAGGGTAGGACTTTCTCTTTTGCTGCTCTTGTTCTGAAACAACACTTTGCTTTGAAATTTATTCTAGTTTACATGGCAAGAAAAATTTTTAAATGAAAAGTCTAAATTGCAACAAAACAAAATTTGATACACTGGATTTTTTTAATGTCGTTTTGAGGGAATTTTTTAATATCTGAGGTTTGGTTCCAGTTCAAACCAAAATCATATTTCAGAATTATGGTTATTTCTGTAAAATGGACATTTCAGTTCTGGGTTCATTCCATCAGAAAGCTGCATTTATTATCAAGATATGTTAAGTTTATAAAGTATATATTATATACTTTCAGTCGGAAGCAGGGAATGGGATATTGAAGGTTATTTATATATTTTAATATAATTTAAATACTGGTTTACAGTCACAAGTCATGATGCAGTGTCTATGAAAATAAAGAAAAACTTAATTCAACTTTCTGTTCTGCTTTGCCCAAGTGTTAAAAAGATGTATTATAGAAGGCAGTATCATGCAGTTCAGCACATTGGGGAATTGTTGCATGTAAGAATTTCATGCAAACTTTATTACACTGTATTTGATTTCTTTTTGCATCAGCATGCTGGCTGGAGGCTAACCTGTCAATTGTTCTGAACTAGCAGACAGCTCTGGTAGCACAGTTTGCAAGGGAGTGTGAGTAGATTGCTTTCTACAAATTTTAGGTGGAGATCGGTTACAATTATTGTAGAAGTGTTGGTAAACCAGCTAGGTATTTCTGTGTTAGTTTATGCTGAATCATTTTCATGGCCTGAGGTTTGAGGACTCTTCAGTAGGGACCGTGAGATGAAGTTAGAAGGCTGTATCTAGGCAGCCTGAACTCGGTGCTGTCGAAGTCAGACCTTTTACATAACCCTATTGCTGTCAGGAGGATTAAGATCTACCAAACTCAGGATGCTTCTGTGGAGGCAAGATACAAACAGGGGGTCAGGGCTTCTGTGACAGCACTAGTCTAGTACTGCGCAATTGTATTTGAAGCCTAGGGAGCCAGATCATTCAGTGCACTTGTTCTAATTGTACTGTTAAACCTAGCAAATGTGTTTATTGCTGCAGTTCCTGTTCCTCCCCCTGCTAGTGTATTAATAGATTTGGAAACTTGCAATATCTGTGATGATTACTTACCCTGATGTGTAATCCCATTCTGTAATACAGAGCGGGAGTGTCACGCGCATGTACACAAACACCCCCAACTGTTTTTGTTGCCTTACTCTAAAGGCCTTGCTACACAGTGATTTTGGGTGGCTTCTGGAGCTTTTATTCTCTGGATTGTCCACAGATCAACACCTTTAAGTGGCTTGAAGCACTCAATATGTGGCTCAAAGTTATGCCGCTCCAGGGAAGGATTATCTCTTGATCAGTACAACCCAGCTCCTGATTCCTTAAAGCGTAGCCATTCCTCACAGATGTGCTGCTCAGGTCGAAAGTGCAACTTCTTCAAGCTAGCACTAAGCTGATTAACATTTGTGCAGCTCACAGTGTAAGGTGCAACACGTTTCTAAAACATGGCATGGCACCGTAGTTACCATTTCAATGTAAGGTACTCACCAAACAACATCAAAATGAATAAGAAAACTGCCAGCCAATAAATATATGGTTCTTTATAAATTATTTTCTTTTTTCCAGTTGTTCTGCAATGTCCAGTTCCCAAAGGTCCTGCAGGCCAGCCCCTTCATGAATGTACTGAATCAAGGCCAATAGTGCACTTATGTTGTCCTAGGGTTTTTCATTAGAGAGCTTCTCTGAGCAGGGGTCTACAGAAGCAAATGATTAAGGAGCACTGGGGAGGAGGGAGGTAGGAGAGTAATAAAAAACATCAATTCCAGAAAAGTACTGGCTTTAGGAGACTTATCCCCACGAGTAGAGGGAGGCTGTACAGTGGCTCAATGGAAAGCCTTTCACTTTTGGAGAGCTGGGTCCCAGTGTGAGTTTTGTTGTTTGTAAAAACAAATCTGGTTATTTTGTTTTAGCTGCTAAGT